AACTATACGTTGTTATTTTATAGTGGCCTAAGCCTTTTGTTATTCTGTCTGATCAAAAAAAAAAAAAAATTTAAGCACGTTTGTGGACTGAGATAAACCTAGAAGTGCTTAATTAATACGGAGTACAACCATACAAAAATTAACTCCATCATTATATTAACATGACGGCTACCAATAATAATAATGTCAACCAACTGTAAAACCCATTTAAATTAATTGGTTATATTATTATTGACTTAATAATTATAAAGTTACGAGTTATTGACTTGTTAATCATAAAATTACGAGTTTGACGCTAGAACAATTGACAATCTATATTGATTTACAGTTAAGCAGAGTTTATCTAGTATATACTACTCGTGGTTGTGATTGTGAGTTTTCAAAAGGCTTAGGCTAGGTGGATAATGCATTTGTTTGGTAAATGTTTTTTTTTTTTTTAAATCCATATGCATTTGAATTAATAAATCATAGATTGTATTAGCCTCCTTGGGGTATACCCCTTCCATATGATCCAAAATAAATCATAGATTGAATATATAATGTATTTTTAACGCACATTTAATTAAGATTATAGACTATGAAAACCATATGCATTTGACTTAGGCCCTGTTTGGTAAAATGGCTATTAGTTGATAGTTGTTAGCTGTTAGCTGATTGTGTTAATTAATTAGAGGGTATAAATAGTTGATAACTTTAGCTGATTGTAGAAATGTGTTTGGTAAATTAGCTGTTAGTTGATAGCTGTTTGGTATAATTTCTTTTCTCAAAAAGCTAATTGAAAAAGTGGCTTGGAGCAGCTTTTTGAATTTTAGCCTTTTGGAATTGCAAAAAGTTAATTAACCAAACATTTATATTGATATTTTAACTAAACCAAACAATTAATAGTGGTCAAATAAGTCAAAATTGACTTATAGGCCAATTTTTTACCAAACAGGACCTTAATAAATCATAGATAGATTAATGCATTTTTAACGCACTTATATTATACACAATTTTTAATTAGGTTGATATTTGATAAGAGATGTTCATCAAGAAGCTAATAGATGTATAGATTCGATGGCATCTTCAATTCCAAGTGTTGTCATCTTTAGTTCGAGTTGCATGTGAGATGAATCGCCTAATGGTGTCTGCCCCTTGTTTGTAAATTGTAATTGATGTTGTAGGAGTACGGTGTTCCGATCTATATTCTTATAAAAATGAGTTAATACCATTCGAGATCCTCCGAGTATAGTGGCTTTGCCACGTTTAGTCCTAAATTTTTAAATTGACCATATGTGGCCCTTCGACTTTCAAATTTAACCATTTCTGATCCAAGTTAACCACCCATGGTCCTTCAAGTTTCAAAATTTAACCAGTCGTGTTCCTCTTGAAAGGACCATAGGTGGTTAAAATTTAATAGTTGAAGGACCATGGATGGTTCACTTGGACCACGAATTGTTAAATTTGAAAGTCGAAGGATTACAGATGGTCAATTTGAAAGTTTAAGACTAAATGTGACAAAATCACTATACTCGAAGGACCTCGAATGGTATTAACTTTTTTTTTTTTTTCTTATAGTGTATGTTTTCTTTTCCTTGTATCTAAAATTACGACCGTTTTTAATTATACTTTTGTAGTATAGTATTATTCTTTCACTTTATATAAGGCTAGCTAAATGATAAAGTATAAATCGAGATGACCTTTGTAAAGAGTAATTCTTATTTTGAACTTTTATAAATATAGTGATTTATAAAAGAAGAATCTTTCTTATTCATCTTTTTAAAAGTTTTTTGTAACACTAAAAAACAATGTTACAAAAATTGTAACGCAACTATCATTAGGCAGGACCAAATGCCCTCAGAATAAATGTCTAAAACACGAGTGACAATGTTCGCATAGTCAGTATGTCTCACTAGCCACTTAGCGACACAAGTTGGACATGTTCACCAAGTACTAACATAGGTAAAGTGAGATGAGCAACTCTAACCAAGTTGATAACACTGTTGATTTTGGTAATAAAGTTACAAGTTCGACTACCAATTAGAGTGGCCTATCATATTCAATTTCTTTTCCCTCTTTGTATTTTCTTTTGGGCTATTACTAAAATAGAGGAACTTCATGGTTAAGGTGGTAACATGCTGGTAAAGTTGTTTTCACTAGCACACAACAAATATAAAATGATATGCACCTAATTTTGATGGCATGCACCAATATAATGTCTCATGAATTGCAGGTTGAAGTGTAAAGTAAAACATAAAAATGTGATGATTGAGGTTTTATTGGCAATGAAGTGTAAGCCACTTTGATTGTGATAGAAACAGAGTACCATGGCAATTGAAAACCTTTTCCAGTTTTCCTAGGACTCTCTCTCTCTCTCTCTCTCTCTCTATATATATATATATATATATATATATATATATATATATATACATACATGGACGGAACTAGCCTGGGGGCAGTGGGGGCAGCTGCCCCACTCCCCCCACCCCCTTTATATATATGTATGTATATATATACATATATAGCATTAAATGTTATATAAAATTAATATTTATGTTTAAAGTATTAATTGTTTGAGTAGTTTAGTTAGTTGAACTCTAAATGTAATTTTAATAAAAAGTATATGGTCATGGGTTCAAAACTCATTAACAACATATTTTATCTCTTTCATTATTCCTTTCCAAGTTAAATTAAATATTTTTTTAGTCTACTTTTATGAATCATTTAATTAATGTAGTACACAAGTTTATATTATACATTTATACTTCATATAAATTTATTCGAATTAATTTACTAGTTGATCTACTTCATTAGTCTACTTCATTGTATTCAAATTAATTTAGAAAAACTTAAAGTTGATCTAACTAAAAAAAAAAAATTAAATTTAAAAGTATTTATGATCGAATATAGTGTTATTCAAAATTTTTTATCTAATGGATTATGTTTCATATTTTGTCATAACTATTTTCACATTTTCACCCCACACAAGTATATTTTTAGCTCTGACTCTAACTATTGTGTAATCTATAAAAAATATTCTATTGTAATTTATAAAGTATTTTGTATTTTAACATTATTATGCCGGTTTGATATTTTATAATTTACAATTCTATCGTCATTTAAACTTCGCCCCCACTCAATTAATTTTCTGGCTCCGTCCCTATATATATATATATATATATATATATATATATATATATATATATATATATATATATATATATATATATAGCTATGCGTCCTGGATTTGGGAAGAGAAAGAAGATGCAAATTGCCAATGCAACACGTAACCTGGTTAAATGAATTATTGCATCTATACCTTTTAAAATAATTGTTTTGGAAAAGATGGAAATGAAAAATTGATCGTTAGATGTTGTGTCCGGTTTTGTTCGTAAAAAATAATTGAAAATAAAGTTATATTTAAATTTTATGGGTATTTAGAGATTCATGGGAGATTGTCCGAGGAGTTTTAATTTGTCATAGGATAGAGAAGGTACACCAAGAGTTATGTTAATTTGGTTCGCGAAAATGATTTGAGAATGAATTAAATTTTAAGCTTTAAAGCAAGTAATACTATGTACTATACTTACATCAAAAAAAAAAATGTACTATACTTACTTTCACTTTTTTTTTTTTTTTGGTTAATGTGATATATTCTGATTGAATAAAGTAATTCCATGCTTACTTTCAATTTTTGCTTCATTTTTTTTTTTTTTTGTTAACGTGATAAAAAAAATAATCACAATTTTTTTTTTCTTTTGATAGGACCAAAACATTTAATACGGGTTTTATTTGCTAAAAGTACAATTATTATTTTTTCTTATTACACGTTCCTATGGGTGCTTGAGGATATGTCTCCACTTCACCAGGTTGTGTTGTTGTTTTACTTCATTCCCCTCCTCTATTATCATTATTTGTAGTTTGTATAAAGAAATTAAAAGGAGATACATGCAATTTGTTATTTATTTTTATTTAATTTTTGTTTATAAAAGAATAATCAAATTAGAACAAGGTCCTTTATAAAAATAAAAAAAAACATTTGGCTAAATCTTATCTGCCCATCTAGATTCAACGATTTAACATTTAAACTTTGTAACTATTCCTATTTAATTGTACTCAAAAAAATCATGAATGTATGCAACTATTCATGTTTAATTGTTTATTTAAACTTTAGGCTATCTTTATTTAAATTTTAGAGTTTTGATTATCTAAAATAATTTTAGTATTTACACATTTTTTTTTTTACATTTATCAATAAATTTACAATGTTATGATTTTGGCGGGCTTCGCCTAAACCCATGGGCCTAAGGCGGGCTAGTTTTCCTTAGACCCATTTTATTGACGAGTTTTTTAGCCTGCCTTGTATAGAGCGGGCTTTGATAGTCCCCATCCTACCGACCCACTTTGATAGCTCTATATGTTGTTAGTTCGAGAACATGCATATCAGCAGATAATGAGGAGAGCTTTCACGCATATTAAGGTGGAGCATCCTTGGTGGAGGAGAGAGAATCAGGTGGGAGAAAAAAAAAAAAAAAAAAAAAAAAAAAGAGAAATGCTTTTGCAAGGACCGGGTGCTTGGAACACTGCTGGTCAGAGGAAGCCTGAAGAGCTGTGCGCATTTCGCGCACAGCTGAAGCCACACGGGTGCGTGCACTGCACGCACCCGTTGACACGTCAGGCGACCGTTTACTTTTTTATTTTTTAAAAATTTTAAAATAAATTTTGTTTTATTTATTTTATTTATTCTCCCCCCCCCCCCCATTCTCTTTCCTATAACCCCTTAATAACCTTAATAAATTGATGCTCTTAGAAAATTGTACTTTTACATATAAATTTACCATTTTAGGCTCTCATCATCTCATGTGGTCAAGTTTTGTCTCTTTTCTTCCCGCCGCGAGCAATCCCTTATTCTCCACTCTCTGCTGCTTCACTGAGTCGCCGAGTGCCAGCCCGCAGCCCCACTCAGGCAGATAGGTAGTCACGCATGAAGGCACAGAGCCACAGAAAGTCACCTGACGCGGAGACTGGAGAAGCCTTCTCCAAATCCCTGGCATTCCTCAGTCTTCACAGCGGCACAACTGCACTGCTATCCTCATTCATCACCAAGACACCGAGGTACACTTTACACTCAATCGATTAATCCTACTGATTTTACAACATATTAATAATCCTATAGTCCTATTATTTAAGTGTTTTGCAGATTAGTAATAATCCTATCAGTATATATTTAAATTCATGTGCCCTAGATTTTAGTGGTTTCCCCTTTTGTTTATGTATATAGTTGAAACTTGAAAGTATATGCACTGCCTATGAGCATGGTTCCAATTCATAACAAAACAATTAATTTCATAGCATGTTCGGACTTCTGAGAGATTTGCACTGATATAAAGGATTTGGAGAAGTTTACACTTTACATTTTACACTTTACACATTCAGCATGTTCCTACAAACAATTTGAAATAATCCTATAATCCTTTACACTTTATACAAAATAGGGAAAATTGTAATTTACGTCCCTCCATAATATGTCAATTATCAATGTCATTCTTGAATTATTAGTGGTGTAAATGTTGTCCCTCAATTTTCAGAATGGTACATATATTGCCCCTTCCGTACCGTACGAGATGAAATTTGAGCGAAAACATTTACACTACGTGAGGGGCAATATATGTACTGTTTTGAAAATTGAAGGGCAACATTTACACCAATAATAATTCAAGAATGACATTGATAATTGACCTATTATGGAGGGGCATAAATTACAATTTTCCCTACTAAATAGTAAATAATGGGCACCGTCAGTGGCGAACCTGCCCAAAATTACTCAGCCCAAAACGACGTCGTTTTGTCGCTGATATATATATATATATATATATATATATATATATATATATATATATATTTTATTTATTTATTTATTTATTTATTTATTTATTTATTTCATTTGGTTAGATGAAATCTGTAGAGACCGAGTCACCGAGAGCTGAAGTCGACGAGACAGAGAGGCGAGAGCTGAAGTCTGAGTTCCGCCAGTCACGCCACCGGCCACCGCTGCTCTCGGCCGATCACGCCACCGCCCACCGCTGCTCAGCCTGCTCTCCGCCAGTCTGATGCCACCACCAGCGCCACCGGCCACCGCCCACGACTGACTGCCTCGCAACTCACAGGTTCAATTCCAAATTTCAAATGTTCAATACCCTTTGTTCAAATGTTGAATATTGTTTGTTTAATTCTCCTCTGCTCACTGAGTCACTGTCCATGTTCACCTAATTTTGCCCTAAATCCTAATTTGCTCTAATTATTGAATTAGTTTTTGAATTGCTAAATCCTAATTGGCATCCTAATTTGTTCTCAATTTCTTTTGACTGATTGCTGGTTCTCGAAGTTGAGGTTAATCTGAATGGTTGTTTGAATTTGAATGGTGTAAAGATTCAATTTTTATCTGAGTTTGTTGGCAAATGGTGAGTGTAAAACTGGAGCTTTCATTAAGATTAGTGATATTTGTTATTGCAGTGGGCTTTCAATTTGATATTTGTTAGTGTAAAACTGGAGCTTTCATTAAGTTTATTGCAGTTGGCAAATGGTGAGTGTAAAACTGGAGCTTTCAATTTGATATTTGTTAGTGTAAAACTGGAGCTTTCATCCTAAATTCCTAATTTGTTGCTTAGTGCAGTGGCATCCTAAATTCCTAATTTGTTAAATTAGTGATATTTGTTATTGTCTCCCTATTCAAATTTTAAAGTTATTTGTATAACTACTTTCTGTTATTTTACTTTCCTATTACACTTCAAAGACTTAACACATTGTCTTAACCTTACATTCCTCTCTTTGAGCACTTTGATAAATTAATGCTTATGTTGGTTGTCAATTTGTCATGAACCAATGAATAATGAATTATATGTTAATATGTTATTCGTTTGTTGGAAATTTGGTTCAGTTATGGAAAAATTCTTTAAAAGAAAATGATTGCTCTCTTCAATCACGATGATTTATTAAATGATTTCTTAGTGCCGTATGTTGAAAAAGACATTTTTGATCAAGTTTCAAATGAAGCAGTTCTACAACGATTTCAAAATATGAAATAGCGTAGAAGAATATTATCCCGTAGTTCATCATAAACCTTGTATTGTAATTTATAATGTATTTTGTATTTTAATTATTTTATGTGTATTTGAACCTTGTATTTGAACATTTTTGAATTTATTTTCCCTTTGCTTCTTTGCCCCCCACTAAAGAAAAATCCTGGGTCCGCCACCTGGCACCGTGTTTGGGGTTGGTGATACTGCATTACTGCATATTTGAAATTAATATGTTCTGAGCATGGTTCCATGTTTGGAAGTATATGCTTGGAGTTGTGTGCCTAGAAGTACGAAGTAGGATGGCAGGTCATTTTTGGGGGGTTATATTCCAAGTAATCTATAGCAATCAAATACTTTTCACTTGTTCTCAAACACTATATAAAATCCTTATCAAACCAATCTCTGGATCGTCATGTTTAAAATGAAGAACTTAGAAAATGGTAGAAAACAGAAAATTAGAAATGAAAAATATTTTATGACACTTATATTCAGAGCAATCTATAGCATTCATAACTTTTTCTCTTGTTCTCGAAAATTATATAAAAGCCTTTGCACTAATCAAACTCAGTCTTCAAAGTATTGTGTTAATATTTAAATTGCATTAAGCTTTGAGTTTGTGTTCTATTTTAGATCTTAATATATTTCTCCATTTTGTCTTCTTTTTGCAGTCTCAAACTTCTGCGGTAGTTTATGATTTTGGTTGGGTTTGGAGATTACTGAAAAATAACATCTGGATGTGGAATCTTGTGAAATCAAGCTCTATTTTGAATGAAAGTTGCTCATTTAAGAAACTAAGAATTGTATACCCACAGCTTGGATTTTTTAGATATTGTCATTTTCAGTTGGGTTCTGATGGGTTAGGTTCATCGTTGGATTTGGCACAAAAGAAGGCCCAAAGCATTGTTGGAATTTTCTGGGATTTGGATAATAAACCCCCCAAGACATTGCCTCCTTTTGAGGCAGCCTCTAAGTTAAGGAAGGCGGCAGAGCAATTTGGGTTTGTGAAGTACATGATAGCTTATGCTAATCACCATTCGTTTAATTATGTACCACCTGTTGTTAGGCAGCAGAGGAAAGAAAGGAAAGTGTTGAATGAATTGGAAAATAAGGGAGTGGTTAAGCCAGACGAGCCATATATCTGCAGGGTGTGTGGGAGGAGGTTTTACACCAATGAAAGGTTTATTAATCATTTTAAGCAAATTCACGAGCGTGAACAGGTGAAACGGTTAAATCAGATAGAGAGTGCGAAGGGGAGTAGGAGGGTGAAGTTGGTTGCAAAGTATGCAATGAAGATGCAGAAGTATAAGAATGCTGCTAGAGATATTTTGACACCAAAAGTGGGGTATGGTTTGGCAGATGAGTTGAAACGGGCAGGATTTTGGGTTAGGACTGTTTCAAATAAGCCCGAAGCTGCAGATATTGCTTTAAGGGATCATTTGGTGGATATGATGGATAAAAGGAGGGTTGACTGCGTGCTTCTTATATCTGATGATTCAGATTTTGTGGATGTTTTGAAGGAGGCGAAGTTGAGGTGTTTGAGGACAGTGGTTATTGGTGATAGCAATGATGGTGCTCTCAAGAGGACTGCAGATGCTTCTTTCTCATGGCAGGAAATAACGATGGAGAAAGCTAAGAAAGAAGCAGTTTCAGTCGTGGGCCGGTGGAAAGACCATGATGTGTTGAAAACATTGGAATGGACTTATGATCCTGGGAGAGACAAAAAATACTATCTTTCTGACATTGAGAGTGAGGGTTCGGGTTCTGACATTGAACATTTTCTTTCCGGGGGAAATGATGATAATTCTCTACAGAAGGAAGATAGCGGAGCATGGTGGGAGCTAGACTCTGATACTGCAAACATGAACAGATCTTCACAATCACTTTAATAAGTAGTCAGTTATATTTTTAAGCTATAAAGTGATAGCCCAACGGTACTTAACATGTGAAACATACATTATACTCGAAGAAACCGAATTCTGATGACAATGCGATGATTGGACTCCTTCTGCAACAGCTTGGAAGAAACACTTTTCAATTACATAAGCATCCAAATAAGAACTGGGATCTTTGCTGATACGAATTACTCCTAATCCTAAGGCAGGAAGCAACTCAAGCTTGCTAATCATTGATTGAAAAAGTTATGTTCTGCTAGAAAAATTGGAGAGTTTGAGTTTGTTGATGATCACAGAGCTTGAAAAATTGTTGTTAAGCTGAATGGAAGACTGAATAAATGTGGGGTGATAAGTCCGTGTTTTGATTTTGGTGTTAATGATACTGAAGGGTGGACTGCTAGATTGCTCCCTTCAAGACAGGTGTAGTATTTTGAAGCATCTTGATTTCATGTCTAACCTTTTTGACTCAAAACAATTACTGATGCACGGTTCTAAAATGAAATGCTTTTCAAAGTATTGCAAATCATTGAAATATCTATATGACCTGATATTTCCATTTGGAATTATAAGATTGGTAATGCATGTTGTTAAGTTCTCTGCCTAGAGAGTCTAAATCCTTGGTCCAATCTTTTATGTGGGGAGTGGTAATCTTTTATCTTGTCAACTAGCTGTTGGAAGTACATCTTTACTTAGGTGGTAGCTTGATTCTTTATTTGTAGTATTTCACATGCTATTTTACTGATAGTTATGACAAAAGTTGTTCATTACCATGTCTTGATCTGACTTATTTTTTGACTTTAAGCGATAATAAACCATGTGTTAATTTTCCACATGTGTCACCTTGTATTAATTTATCATCATTTTAAAACAAAGTTGTTGATTTTGCAGTTTGGGTACATTATGCTGACCACTTCAGCTAGCATCATGGACCATGAGGAGGCCAGAAGGAAGAACGTCGGAGGAAAAGTACTCGGTTTCTTTTACTAGGATTGTTTTGTTGATTAGGAAAAACCTCCAGTTTTGGTGTACTCTTTATGTTTGCTTTGAATTTTGGTTTTGTCTAAGTGCCATTGAGCCCCTTTTGCCCCGGGCCTATAAAATAATAGAACCGGTCTTGAAAGAGCAGTGGACAATTTCATTTTGCTTACCCTATGTATTTTGTGTTCTTGTCATATTGCTATACACCAAGTGATTCATGTATATAGTGTGAGCGTGTTGATGTAGGCACGCACTATCTACATGAACGTGTATAGCAATATGACAGGAACCACATAAAATACCTAGGGTAAGTAAAGTATAATTGTCCACGGCTCTTTCAGGGCCGGTCTTATCATTTTATAGGCTCGGGTAAAAATAAAAACAAAAACCCTTTTATATATAAAGTTAAAAGATTGTATGAGTTAATTGAAATAATTAAATGATAATTTTTAATTTTTGTAAGTATATAAATTTTTTATTAAAAAAATATTTTAGAACAGTCTTGGAGTAGTGCCTATTCAAACTTTGGACCCTTATATGTGTAATTATAAATTAATTTAATGTTCGCTAGTATATATCTATTAATTATAATAAGTATATCAAAGGGTTGTAATTGTTAAGTAGATTTAAAATTAATAAATAATTTTAAAGTTATAGATTCAAATTTTTTTAACTTCAAAAGAATAAAAATCAAGTTAGGAGGCACCTTCCAATATTGGATCTAGAGCAGGTGCCCATCTTGCCCGCCCTCAGGGGCCGGCCCTTGTATGTGTGCGTGTGTATATATGCATTTAGTAAACTAGTGTTGTGATAATGGGGAAGGTTTCTGATATTTATTTTTTTGATAAAGCCAGTACAGTGAAAATTGCATTCAACAGGGAATAGATATTAACTCAAAAACACTGGAAAATATCTTATCCGGAATGTCTGTCGCAAAATATCTTGATGAACAGGCTGGTGAGTGGTGATGAACAATGCCAAAGGTTCCTGGTTGCCCTGATGATAAATTACCATCACGACGATATCATGACATGAGCTTGTCGTCAGGCATCTTCCGGCGCCGGATTCTCCATCGCTGGCGCTCTCTGGTTCCGGCGAGACCTGGGATCGATGATTCAGTTCTTGAGCAGAGAGTGGTGGAAAATGGTGAGAGATGTTTGTGCTTTTATAGTGGGTGTGGGAGGGGAATCTTCTTAGCATATACTCCAGGATGGAATGCCTTTTTGCACCCATTAGGATAAACCAAATCATCACTACTAGGAATCTACTTAAGATGCTCTTATTTTCCCTTAATCCCAAAGTATCATCACTACATGGTTGATGATAACAACTTCAGCTATTTAAAACTCATAATAGATTCCAGAAATTGAGATTAATAATTGTTCGTTATCTTGTGTTCAATAAGAGCATCACTATCAGTGGATTATAATGTGATTTTTTTGAGGAATCAAAATCTGTACGGAGAAGAGAGAGAGAGAGAGAGAGAGAGTAAATGAGTTCTTATATGAAGGAGAAAGGTTTTTTTTTTTTCGGATTATGGGCTCCACCAAGAAAGAAAGCCAGCCATTTGGCTTGCATAACTTGCAAATTTCGCGCCCAGCCGGGCGTATGCACCTACAATGAAACTCCTAAAAAACTATAGTCAAAATGCATTGATAAGGATGGTCTAAGAGTTCAACATACTTACAATAAAACTTTTAAAATATAAATTAACTACTAAAGAGATTTAATTGATCATTATATTGTTCAATCAGAATTCAACATATATTTACAATAAAGCTTATAAATCGACCACTAAAAAGATTTATGATTATTAAAATTGAATAGTTATACATTAAAAAAATGGTATATAATACGGAGTATAATTTATGGTTAGCTTGGAAACTTTTTTGATAATCACAGTTTCAAAGTGTTGAAGACTCCTTTGTGCAGGGGTGGAAACTAAGAATGACAGGACGACTCGTGATTTACCTCCTCTAACACCTTGGAAACTTAAGATTAGTTTAGTGTAAATTGAAAAACATAATATATATATATATATATATATATATATATATATATATATATATATATATATATATATATATATATATGATCAAATGAGAATTAACCCTTATCTAAGAACGTGAGAACACATGAATGCACACAAATTACTTTATGGTAGATTATGTGCATGGTGTGTCTAGTATATCGAAGTGTGTATTTATGTAGAAGATATGATCAAATGAGAATTAATCCTTACCTAAGAACGTGAGAACACATGAATGCACACAAATTACTCCATGGTAGATTATGTGCATGGTGTGTCTGGTATATTGAAATGTGTATTTATGTAGAAGATTTTGTGTATTGATGACAAGTTCGCAGTTCTCAACTAAAATATGTTTATTGACATTATTGCTTTGAACTAATAAGCAAGTATAGTATAGAATAATTTATTTTAAAAAATGGCAATTTGTTTATGAATAAATGAAATGATCCATTAAAGATGGAAGAAATTTCGACCAGAAAAAGGAAAAAGAAATGTAGGGAAGAAATGGTCTACTGTCACACGACATAAGCGTAGAATGACAGTCGCGAAGCTCTTACACGTAGACACGTATCGAACGCGGAACGGGCGAGAAAAGCAGAGAGAGAGAGAGAGATTGAGAGCGAGCAAAGATGCCTGCGCAGATCATTGTTTGTATGTGTACCATCTGATATTTGTTCCATTTTCACTCTCCCATGTCGCCGACGCCTTGCTAACCTGCGCGCCACCACCTCTCCCCGCCAGGTGAACGGCCTTCCAACTTCTCTACCTCTGCAGCATTTACGTCTGTGTTTTTGTGTATTATTTGTTGAATTTCGCGTAAATCTATCTTACTTAGGGATCGTGATTCCGGTTCTGCACATTGTATTGCATTATAGCTGATGTGCATGCGCTTCTGAAGCTTTGATTGCAGGGGCGAATTTTTAGGGTTATACATCCTTGATTGGATTCACATTCGTATAGATACGTACAGGAACGAAGAGAAAGGATGGCAGCTCCACCGGCTAGGGCTCGAGCGGACTATGATTATCTTATAAAGCTGCTCCTCATTGGCGACAGCGGTTAGTTGCCTTCTTCCATTCGCGTTTTGTTATCCCTTTAGATATTCAGAGAATTGCTTGTTAATGTATGACATTTGTTTTGCCGCAATGGTTAATTGATGATCATTCCATGTCTAAGAGGTGATGAGTTCTTTTATGGATTCTATATGTTTCAACTGTTTGTGTTGTGTAATTCCTTTTACTGTTTTGCTTCTGATCGGAAATGTCTTTCTGTAGTGTATTTTAGTATGGTGGATCAAATGCATGTAGCAAAAACAATGGTGAATTGAAGTTTATTTTTCCCTTGTGTTTTATGTACTCCTTGTCCATTATAATCATTATTTATAGCATAGTTAATTAGTTATGGTATCCCTAAACTTTTATGCCAGTTTCTGGATTTATGTTATGTTATTCACCTTTTTTTTTTCTCCGGTATAATAGCACAATTGAGTTATGTTTCAAGTTCCTACTGTTTATTCGGTGTAAAATACTTGCTCTGGTTTTAGGACCTTTTAATTTTTAATTGCTAGGATTATCTACAATAGTAATTTTCTTCAGTTTTTAATTGCATTTATCTTGCTAGTTGACAAAATTAGCATGATGATTCAATCAGTAAAAGTTTTGAAATTGGATCTTATTTTCTGTTTTGGCCTGTAAATATTCAACATGCTCCTGTCAATCATTTTCACTTGGTGCTCTTCACCAAGCTTATTGTTGTTAGGGCTTTCCTGCTACTCTTGATCTACTACTAATGTTTACATATTATTCAATTGTGTTTGAAGGTGTGGGAAAGAGTTGCTTGCTTCTGAGGTTCTCAGATGGTTCCTTCACAACAAGTTTCATTACCACAATTGGGTATGTCTTAAGCTTTTTCTTGGGAGGGATTGGAATGTGTTGGTACTTGAACACTCAAAATGTTTGATAGTCATCGACCCTCGGATCTTTAGTTATCAAAAATGTTACCTACCAATGGCTGACTGGCAGTGCATCTTCTGAATAATACATTAATGTTGGCTATATTCTTGAGAAACTCTAGCTTACATACATTTTTTGTACTATTGTCTTTTATGTGACATGTGATCAGATTTGTATGCCTAATTTTGGAATTGGAGTATCTTTGGTTGGACACCTATTTCTCCTACCTGTCTAGCTCGACTTTGTATTCTACTCTTTGCTGAATCTTTTGTTAGATACTAGCTTCTTTCGCTTGTTTAACACTACTTTCTTTCCTCCTCTATGCTGCTCCAGTATTGACTTTAAGATAAGAACAATTGAGCTTGATGGAAAGCGGATCAAGTTGCAAATTTGGGATACAGCTGGTCAAGAGCGGTTCAGGACTATCACTACAGGTACATAGATTGGGCTTCTTGTCATCATTATTACTCTGTATTTAGTTTTAATTCAACGTTTTCTTATCTAAACTTCTTTTGGAAAGTTTTTGTGGGGAAGTAGGAAATATTGGATTTCACTTAACATTACTCCTTTGAAATTGGAATTTTTATCAACTACTCAAGGAATGTGGGCCATGTGGCTATATTAGTATGAAGCTTGTAGAAGGTGATGCCAAACATTGTTACATTAATTTGACTAGTAATGCTACATGGTTCCATTTCGATATTAGAATCCAGTTTATGATTCTAAGCTCATATTTGATTTGGTTTTTGGCAGCATACTATCGAGGAGCTATGGGTATTCTGCTGGTGTATGATGTCACTGATGAATCTTCATTCAACAGTAATTTTTTAAACTACGCATTTCACACATATGAGCATTTCCATTAATATTTCAACCTTTTCTCTCTCACTATCCTCAAGCAAAGGGAAGACTTTACCTTTTATGTAAATCTTCTATTGAGATTTCAGACATCAGGAACTGGATTCGCAACATAGAGCAACACGCATCGGATAATGTCAACAAGATTTTGGTTGCGAACAAGGCTGACATGGATGAAAGCAAAAGGGTATGTAATTTCAATTTGAGAATCAGCGTCATGAAGATGTGTGAGAGCTTCTCTTTTTACTCTATTATTTTTAGAACCTTGTTAAATTCAATGGTAGATTGTTTGAATCATCATTGATGATATATTGGTATAAAAAATCTCAAATTCCAATTGAAGATGCACAATTCACCTTAAAGTGTGAAAATGAAATAAA